GCGGCCGGAATAAAGCAGCCCTCCCCAGAAACCTTTTGCAAAGGCTTTGGGAGTACATCCAGGAGAGCTTTATGGAGATGTCCCTGGAGGATTTCCGCTCCATCCCCAGATATGTTAACAGACTTTTCCAGTAGCTGTACTGGCTGCGAATACTAGGGCAAATTAATCATTAAACACACTTGCTTTTAAACCATGTGTAATATTTACAAAGGTACACTCACCAGAGGTCCCTTCTCTGCCTTCAGAGTCCGGGAGCACACCTTTGGTGGGTTGGGGGGTTACTGGCTCCAGGTCCAGGGTGAAAGACATATCCTGGCTGTTGGGGAAACCGGTTTCTCCGCTTCCTTGCTGTGAGCTATCTTCAATCTCTTCATCATCATCTTCCTCGTCCCCAAAACCTGCTTCTGTGTTGCGTGCTTCTCCATTGATGGAGTCAAAGCACAGGGTTGGGGTAGTGGTGGCGACATCCCCTAGCATGGAATGCAGCTCATCATAGAAGTGGCATGTTTGGGGCTCTGACCTGGAGTGGCCATTTGCCTCTCTGTTTTTTTGGTAGGCTTGCCTTAGCGCCTTAATTTTCATGCGGCACTGCTTTGTGCCCTGTTATAGCCTCTGTCCTTCATGCCCTTGGAGACTTTTTCAAATGTTTTGGCATTTTGTTTATTGGAACGGAGTTCAGCTAGCACGGATTCGTCTCCCCATACAGCGATGAGATCCCGTACCTCCCGTTCGGTCCATGCTGGAGCTCTTTTGCAATCCTGGGACTCTATCATGGTCACCTCTGCTAATGAAATCTGCACTCACCTGCACCTTGCCACGCTGGCTAAACAGGAAATGAGATTCAAAAGTTCGCGGGCCTTTTCCTGTCTACCTGGCCAGTGCATCTGAGTTGAGAGTGTTGTCCAGAGCGGTCACAATGGAGCACTCTGGGATAGCTCCCAGAGGCCAATACCATCGAATTGCGTCCTCACTACCCCAAATCCGACCTGGAAAGGCCGATTTCAGCGCTAATCCCCTCGTCGGAGGTGTAGTAAAGAAATCGATTTAAAGAGCCCTTTAAGTCGAAAAAAGGGCTTCATCGTGTGGACGGGTCCAGGCTTAAATTGAGGTAAGGCTGCTAAATTCGACCTAAAATCATAGTGTAGACCAGGCTTAAGAGACTTAAGGAGTTTGTATCATAGGTTCCAAGACCAGAAGAGACAGTTATAATCATGCAGTCTGACCTCCTGTATAACACTGGCCATTGAACATCCCCAGAATAACTCTTTGAGCAGATCTTTTAGCAAAACATCCAACCTCAATTTAAGAATGGTCAGAGATAGAGAATCCACCATGACCCTTGTAAGTTATTCCAATGGTTAGTTACTCTCATGGTTAAAAATATACACCTGATCTCCAGTCTGAATTGGTATAGCTTCAACTTCCAGCCATTGGATCATGTTAAACATTTCTCTACTACATTGAGGAGACCAGTATTAAATATTTGTTCCCCACTTAGATATTTATAGATTGGGATCAAGTCACCCCTTAACCTTCTCTGTCTTAAGCTAAATAGATTGAGCTGCTTTAGTCTATCCCTATAAATTGTGTTTTCTAATCCTTTTATCGTTCAGCTAGATCATATCACCACAACTGCCACTGCTCTAGGTGGGCAACTATTCTCCACACTTCTAGTGAGGTCTCTTCTGACAAGAGAGGGTGTGTGTGTGTTAGGACCATCAAGCATTACTGCTGGCTACGCAGGGAGAGGAGAAGACCCCCCCATATGAAGAAAACAAACTCTCCAGTCTATAGAATCTACGATTTGACTGGGCTGTGAGTGTGAGTCTACAAATGCATGTCTCGTTGCTCTGCTGGGGTTTTGAACAGAAGCCAGAGAAGGATGATAGGCAAATAGCCTGGAGGCCCTGCATTGCAACCTTTAGTATACTAGAAAAAAGAAGAACAGGAGGACTTGTGGCACCTTAGAGACTAACAAATTTATTAGAGCATAAGCTTTCGTGGACTATAGCCCACTTCTTCGGATGCATATAGAATGGAACATATATTGTAGAGGCTCTCTTT